CTGAGGATCTCTGTAGCTGTGACTTTTCCCTCAGTTGGGTGCTTCTTTTCCTCCAGAGGGGCTGCTGCCAGACTTGGAGGTGGTACCAATCCTCCTACCTCCATATTTGTCCTATTAGGTAGGCAGCCACAATGACCAACATGTTATGAGCAACAGGGACTATCCTCTCAATGGAAAGGAGCTAATTTGGACACAGAAGGAGTGAAAGAGTTTCATAAATGTCAGAACATTGATCAATGGCGAACCCCACAAATGAGGGCTCAGGACACTTTACAACACATTGAGAAATGCTGCATGTTGATATGGGGGTACATGTCTGCCTCCAGTATGTGCTGTGTAACTTTCTGAAGATGTTGCGCTGGCTGAGTGACCACCAGATATCCCGGAGAATGGGCTGCCTGCAGCGCACCATCACCCTCCCGACCCTATACCTACGTCAATCTCTGAGCCTGATACTGCATTCAGCACACACAACCGTGACACTTACATGACAGAGGATGACTTGAGCTTGTGTGGCTCTCACAGGACCCTTGGAAGTTGCACAAATATTGGTCTACCTTTAGCCAGCACTGACCTTTCATATCGCATTACTGATAACTTCAAGATTATTAACATGCCTGGGCTCAATTTGCAAGCACCATTGACAAGCAACTGATCCCGAAGGCCCCTCAAACTGAGTACATACAAAATGGACCATGCAGTGACTGCAAATCCAATGTAGCTGCACAGAGTAAATGGCCGCTTTATTGGTTTGATCACTACAATATTCTGGTGCTGAGCAAACATGGATCCTGCACTTCCGATCATCAAATTGACACTTACTCCACCCACCCTGGGGACTGTTTCAGCCATTTTCTATAGGCACTTCATGCCATATTCAGAGCAGGGAAAGTGATGGCTGGCAATGCTGCAAGGGGATCAGGGCTGGAAACTAAATATCCGAGGATAGACATCCTATTGAGGGGGTGAGGTTGCCTTGTTGGACGGAAATGACATTAAATCCATAGCAAGGTGCAGAATCTGTGTGGGTAGAGCTGAGGAACCACAAAGGAAAAAAGACCCTCATGGGAGTTGTGTACAGGCCTCCTAGCAGTAGTCAGGAGGTAGGGCAGAAAATAAATCAGGAGATAGAAAAGGCATGTGTGGAAGATGCTATTACAATAATCATGGGGGACTTCAATAAGCAAGTTGGGAAGAATCTGGTTGGTAGTGGATCTCAAGGAAACAAATTCATGGCCTGCCCACGAGATGGTTTTTTGGAGCAGCTTATGGTAAAGCCTACTAGGGAATGGGCAATTCTGAATTTGGTAATGTGTAACAAGGCAGATTTGGTTAGGGAGCTTAAGGTGAAGAAAACCATAGGAGGCAGTGAGCATAATGTGATAGAATTCACCCTGCAGTTTGAGAGCGAGACACTGGAATCAGACATAATGGTATTACAATTGAGTAAGGACAACTACAAAGACATGAGGGAGAAGCCAGCCAGAATTGATTGGAAGAGAAGCCTAATAGGGAAGAGGCTGGAGCAGCATTGGCAGGAGTTCCTGAGGGTAATTCACGAAGCACAGCAGAAATTCATCCCAAAGAAGAAGAAGCATGTAAAGCAGGGTATGCAGGGAGGTCAGGGACAGCATAAAAGCCGAAATAAAAGCATACAATGTAATGAAGATTAGGGGAAACCAGAAGATTGAGAAGCTTTAAAAAACAGCAGAGAATAACTAAAAAAAAGCAATAAGGAGAGAGAAGATGAAGTATAAAGGTAAGCCAGCTCGGAATATAAAAGAAGATTGCAAGAGTTTTTTTAGATATCCGAAAGGTAAGGGAGAGGCAAGAGTGGACATTGGACTGCTGGGAAAGTAGTAATGGGGAATAAAGAAATAGGTACTTTTCATCAATTTTCTCAATGAAAGACACCAGCAACATACCAGAACTTCAAGAGAGTCAGGGGACAGAGGTGAGTATATTGGCCGTCATTAAGGTGAAGGTGCCTGGGAAGCTGAAAGGTCTGAGGTGGACCCAGAACAGATGGACTACACTCCAGCATTCTGAAGGAGATAACTGAGGAAACTTTAAAGGCATTTGTGGTGATCTTTCAGGAATCACTGGAGTCAGGGAGGGTCCCAGAAAATGATTAATATAACACCTCCTTTTAAGAAGCGAGAGAGGCAGAAGGCAGGAAACTATAGGCCAGTTAGCCTGACCTCGGTCATTGGTAAGATTTTTGAGTCCATTATTGAGGATGAGATTGTGCAGTAATTAGAAGCACATGGTAAAACAGAGCTGAGTCAGGCTTCATCCAGGAGAGGTCATGCCTGACAAATCTGTTAAAATTCTTTGAGGAGGTAACAAGCAAGTTGGATAAAGGAGAGCCAGCGAACGTAATTTATTTGGATTTCCAGAGGCCTTTGACAAGATGCTGCACAGGAAACTACTAAATAAGATAAGAGCCCATGGTGTTCGGAGCAAGGTACTGGCATGGATGAAGGATTTGCTGACTGGCAGAAAGCAGACAGTAGGGACAAAGGAGTCCTTTTCAGCATGGCAGCCAGTGACTAGTGAAGTTACGCAGGGGTCAGTTTTGGGACCATAACTACTCATGTTATACATTAACAATCTGGACAAAGGAACTGAGGACATTGTTGCTAAGTTTGCAGATGACACAAAGATAGTGTTGAGGAAGCTGGGAGGCTACAGAAGGACTTGGACAGGCTGGGACAAGGATGTGGGCGGATGGAGTACGATATGGGAAAGTGTTAAGTTATGCACTTTAGTAGGAAGGATAAAGGCGTAGACAATTATCTATATCATAGATCATAGAATCCCTCCAGTGTGGAAACAGACCATTCGGCCCAGCAAGTCCACATTGCCCCTCCAAATAGCATCCCACCCAGACCCATACCCCGTAACCCAGCATTTCCCATATCTAATCCACCTAATTTACACACCCCTGGACACCACAGGCAAATTAGCACGGCCAATCCACCTAACCTGCACATCTTTGAACTGTGGGAGGAAACCAGAGCACCCGGAGGAAACCCACACAGACATGGGGAGAATGTGCACACTCCGCACAGATAGTTACCCAAGGCTGGAATCGAACCCAGGTCCCTGGCGCTGTGAGGCAGCAGTGCGAACCACTGAGCCACCATGCCGCCCAATGGATATCTGAAGCACCCAAAGGGAATTGGGAGTCCTAGTTCAGGGTTCTCTTAAGTTATAAGAGTGACTCATATACCCAGTGACAGAATTGGATTTTACCTTGTCACTTGAGACTTTACAGTCACTCATGTTGAATTGATGTTAGCACTAAGTGTTCATATCATGATATCTCAGTGTCCAGTTTGTACCCATTCCTTATTTCAACAATAACTCACTTTGATTTCCCACATGACCTTTAAAAGGAATGGAAATCCTGATTAGGGAGCATGCAAAGGAGTTCTCAGAGCAGGGTGAGCACTCTGAGGATGCACTGACACATAACTTATGCACTCTGCAAGAGTGGACACTGAGATATCATGATATGCACACTTAGTGCTAACATCAATTCAACATGAGTGACTGTGAAGTGTCAAGTGACAAGGTAAAATCCAATTCTGTCACTGGGTATGTGAGTGACTCTTATGCACTCTTCAAGAGTCCAGATACACATTCCTGAGTGGGTTTTGTACCAGAGATAACTATAATAAGGCATTAATCTCAAATAACCAGAGCAGGTACTGTAGATAAAGACAGTATTTGAAAGGCCCCATTGTAAGGTGCAGAACCAACTCCACACAGCTGGACATTGATGCTGAGTCTCAGGAGTCATCGTGAAAAAGGAAATGTGTGCACTTCTGTCACCATTTTGAGAGAGAGTATGTCCTTGGAAAATGACTGTTGGGAGTCCATCTCAAGTATGGGTGCACCGACATTCACCTCCGTTGAAAGTGTAGAGATGGAGAAGCTGACATGAAGGTCACCAAATGCATTCTGGCTTAAACTCTGCTAACTAATTGACATAGGATGGTGTAAAGCGTTGCTTTGGTGGATCTGAACCTCACTGACATGCAACCAACTGCACGCGCTCTCTCTCTCTCCCTCTCCCCCCCCTCCCCACTGTCTCTGAAAGGGGTGGTACACACAGATTATAATAAGGAAAATTTAGAGCACATGACAATGGGAACCTGTCTAAAGGTACTGCCACTCCCAACCAACACCACCCACCCCACACCACCCTGACAGCAGAACCAGACATTTTGCCTGCAACCTGATGTTGAGCCTGATGTCTAGGTTTGTTCCTGTATAGGTGCAGATGGATTGGTGTGGGGGTGGGGTGGCGGGGTGCATCCTGTGCTCTAAAACCCAGAGGAATTCCATCAAGAACATCTCATTTATGAAATAAGGGGAATGACCAAACCTGCTGATGGCTCCACTGAAGCAGCTGAAGTTGCACCACAAAGAACAAATAGATAGTGGATGAGAAAGATTTATCAGTTGTATTAGGGGATTTGCTTGGGTGTG